ACGTTGGGGATGCTAATCACAATGATTAACACACCGAAATAGAAGTCAACCCAATACCTTGTTGCGTGAGTGCCCTCTGCACTAAAGTGCGTTCCATTGATTTGCTCAGAGCAATATGTCCTCAATACCCCAACAACAGCTCAGTTCTACCTCTGACAACCAATCACTGCGTTTTCAATATATGCGGGGACGTACGCAGTCAAACAAGCTAGTGCCGCGTTTGGAAGTTAGCAACGAAGAAGGGGGCAGGAGAAGCAGGCGACGCGCCGGCGACTGTCCATCGTTGCGCTTCTTTACCTGTGGAGGCGCTGACTATCGCCCGACTGCGGTGCCTCCTAGACTTGTGCTCTGAGGCTCATCGCCACAGAGCACATGTCTAGGACTACAGTGGCAGCACCGCTTCCCACTATAGACTATTCCATTTAGGGCTGTCAGGGCAGCGCCATTTTGTTCGACCGCAGCGCCCCCCTTCACACATCCGGGAAGTAGAGCAGGCTTGGCGGGGTAAAATGCGCCCGATTCCGCTAGCAGACGACAAACAGGGAGGTTGCCGTTCTCCATCTTTCGGCTGTACCGGCGGGCTGTACCGACCATCGGACTCTGGCTCGTGCACGCCGTTGTGAAATGGTTCCAAATCAGCTGTTGCTATATTTCATTAAATAATCAACTAGCGTATCTTTGTTCCATTACTTCAACGGCAGTGGAGTCAGCCGGCAGTACCCATAAAGAGATGAATAATTGAAATCTGGATTCCACAAAACACGCGGCAAAAGCGTGCAACGGGATGCTACAAACACCCAAACATCACTCAGACAGCGACATATCGAACGGATGACCTTCTTTTTTTCAAGAAAAAGGAGGCGCATTTGACAGAAATGTTTTCGTCATGTTTCTTCGAGAAGGAGAGAGAACGGCCTCGCGTCTTCTCCGCCTCGCCGCCTTGAGGGAGCGAAGCAAAGAGAGGAGACATCAAGATATCTCTACGTCACACGCCTCGTCGGCCTGGTTCAATCTCGACCTCTTTTTTGCAAAAATACGGCCGTCCATACGAGATATCGCCTTACGAGTAGTCTCGTAGGGATTGTAGCGTTCCACGTACATCTCCTGCATTGTTTTTTTTTTCTTTTCTTGTTTTTTTTAATCCAAATTTTGGTTCACCATTCCATTCCTTCGAAGGGGAACTCCACCGATTTTTTGGTAGGCTTCGATTTGGCTGGAAATAGGCAGACCACATCAACAGCGCTTTCTCAACCGATAACCAAAATATTTTATAAAGGTAAACATTTTCCGTGCAGTTATTGAATTTGTAAGTTACGCCGGCTGCGAGGTTTCTAGGAGGCGACTCTCTACTGGAAAGAGTGGAAAATCCCTACTCTTCCCTACCCGTATACGTCACCGGTGGGCTGGCGGACGAGCGACTCGGGCAGCCGCCAAGTGGCTTTCCGGACGCCAGCGATCGAGATGGTCTTTTCGAAGCTTCTAGGTTGAAAGTTTCTTTGCAATGGATAGCAATGTGTGCTTCTCGATAGATTGTAGAAACAGTGCCGAGAAAAAGCCTCATTTTTACTCTTGTTTTCGTGGGAGAAAAAAAAAAGCGTTCCCCGGCAGCAATGGAGGCCAGCCACGTCAGGGTGCTTTTGCGCGAGCTGTGTGCCAAGAGAACTAGTGTCACGTGAAACATTTTCACTTATGCTCGGAATACTTTATAGCCGCGAGCTGCGAGTTTAGTATCCTTCAGCAGCTGGAACAGCTTCAAGAGCGGCAAGAGCAAACTCAAGCCGGCTGGGACCACTACGACATCCGTCCAAGAAAGAGCGCTAATAATATCGACAAAAATAGCACGCAATCTAGCACTATAGTCGACATTTTGCGCATTAACTTTTGTTATTCACAACTGGTTCAGTGATTTATTTATATAAACATTATATTTGTTTCGGACGTTGAATCTAATTCCACTCACGCGGCCTTTATGTTGAAGACGAGAAGTGAAACGTCTAAGCAAAGTGCAAGTCTGAATTTGGACATGACTTTCGGCACATTGCTATTCCTGTCTGCTATTACAGAAGCTTATGGAGTAGATGTCGAGCTGCAGTAATATACGATACAGCCTTGGCCTGGTTTCTCAAATGGCTGGCGTGCAATATTCTTTGCAGAAGAAGTGATGAAAACTTCTTTAATATGTTCTACTGCGGAGAAATTTTATATAGGGCTAAAAAGTCTCTTTAAAAACTATGAAAATATTAATTTCGTTCAGGGGAGGCTTGCAAATTTACACCTGACAGAAATTCTGCTAAACCGAAACTTAATTGAAAAAGAGCCATATATAGAATTACCCCCTTCCCATGTGCTTTCATAGATGGGTGTTTGAACGCGTTGCATTCTACTCCAAAAGTAAAAAAAAAAAAATACGGGTACACATTTTTTTTGTACTTTTGTTAACTTAAATATTTTGAATTAAAAGTTTTATGTTGTCTTTTTGTACTTTACGCACCATTGTATCTTCGAGCAAATATTCTTTATTTTAAAATGAACAGTGTATTTGTGTATTTTATACGCATTCCCTTGCACTTTGATGTTTGGCTTGGTGGTTTCGTAGCTCTTTTAATTGTCATTTTAACACGATCTTCATGACCTGTAACCTGCCATCTGATCTACACGAATGCAGCTAATTCCTTTCTATACATGTCACTGTTTACGAGAATCACAGTCTACATGTGTTAGGTCCAAGCCCAGCACGCACATGCTCGTCGCTTTGAAATGCGAGCAAAGTACGCGCCACACACACGAACGCTGAAAATGGCATCGACCAGAAGCGCTTTTCAGAAACGGTTTTTAGATCTTTTGCTAAATTACTTAAGCACCAATAAGCATACTCATGCCACAAGAGTAGTTACACGTGCTTGCGCATGCAACAGCAACTTTTCTAAAGAAAATCTAAAACAAATGGCAGGTTTCTTCAGGTTATTGGGGCGTGTGGGGCACCTGTACCCACATTCCGAGAAAGTTTGGTGGTGCTTTGGCAATTCGTCCTAAAATGAATTGCGTGACTCTTCAATCTTTAATTGGCTAGCCATCTTCTAATACAAAGAGAACGGATTTACAAACGATTTCACAAAATTAGCGAGCCGCGGCTTGAGCGTACCGAGTAGCAAAAACAGTTTTATCAAAATTCCGATTGCTCCCGTTTTTTGTTTTTTGTTTTTTTTTCTTACTTTCTCGTAGTTTAGCAGGTAGGCCAAGGTCATACTTTGTGCAATTGAAAAAAATATTATCAACTCCAAATAGCACGAACGCCCAGGTTTTCTCGCTGTTAGACGTGAGAAAGTCAGTCGGGCGCGAGCGTACCGGATTGCCGGCCACGCGCCTCGCTGCCCACAGGTGGCGTCACGCTTGGGTGGCGGGGAAAACTGGGGAACAACAAGGAAGAACGATGTTTCGGTTTCGGCAGCAAACAAAATGTCACTTTTTTCAATTAACTAGAGTGAATCTGGGAGAACGAGATAGCATTTCGGAATCAGGAAGCCATCCGCATTCAGATAATGCCTTCGGATTATGTAAATCGAAAAACCGGCGGAGTTCACCTTTAACCACTGCGTCTATTGCGCCAGGAGAGCATATTTTTATTTGTTATTCCAGACATCCACTTGTTGTCGCTAAAGACCTACACCACTACTAACTTTGCATAGTTAAAAAGCTACAGCAACCGGATTTACTTTTTGCCGGAGAGACCACTCTGACACAGTTATTCATTTTTTTTTTCATTTTCACGCAGGTAACAGCAAAATTGGACCCGGTTAGTCATTTTATCGCGCACAGCATTACAAGACAACTTGCACATAAAAATCCGCGCATATGCGCTAGAAATTTCCAAAATTACGCGATTTTAAACCGAGTTTGGAGCCAGACAGATGTTACGTACAGCCCATTCGCCGGAGCAGGCGGTGCAAGGGGCAAGGGGGAGGGGGGCATGAATTCCGTATCTTGTATGCGGGATAAAAAAATAAATAAAACTTTTCAACTTGTAATATCCGAGAAAATACAGATGAGGCAAAACAAGATTGCGTGACAACCATGCATGTTTCGTAAACACCTTCTAATGGCGTGGAGAAATCAAAACGGTGTTCTACTGCATACCAGAAGTTACGACATTTAAGATGGCTGCGGCCTCGGGGAAAATATGCATAATCCCTTGCAACTTAAAAAGGTAGGGCGAGGTAAAGCAGGGCCGGGTAGGAGGAAGCAGACGGAACTCTGGAGAACAGAGATGGAAACATCTTTCTCCCTCTAGCGTTTTGTTTGCTTCCTTCTTAATAGCCTTCCTTTCCCTCGCCCTACCTTCTTGAGTTGCAACGTACTATACTGGAACGCTCTATAGCTTTTGCATTCTCGAGGCGATAACAAAACCTACCGCCCCAAAGAGCCACCAGTACCATGAAGGCATCATGCCACATCAGGGGCCACACCGTCACTCGTTGCATGCTAGCTAGAGTCATCTCGCGACTACGCGTTGCAGCTTGTATCCTGAAAATTTAGTGCTCGAGGCCCCTAGCTCCAAAACAGTCTAGTAGCCAACGGAATATTTTCACGATCAGTTAGATTTTGCAGTTTTATAGCTCGACCTCACCACACCACATCAGAGAGTGCAACGTTGGAGCAAGCGTTCGCCCTTGCCACGCGGCAGCTGACATCCCACATATTCAACGCGTTACGTCAGACAGAGATCCCGTGGTGATCCAGTGGGTGGTTGCACTATTCAATTCCCAAAACTTTGACGAGAGAGGGTGCTTATCTGCCCACACGAAAGCAGGCTAATCCTAGTGATAAGAAAAAGAGAAAAAAAAAACAAAAAAAACCCTAGGAACAAAAGAACGCAATGACAAGCGTGTACACCGCCGCTTCCACCGTGACGCATATACTGGAGATACCTTATCCGCACTCTCTTCTTTTTGTGCTTCCATTCGGGTGTGACCCACTAAAAAAAGAAGAAAGGAGAGACAAACGAAAAGAAAAGAAAGAAGGCGGGTCCCAGTACGCGGATGACAGACAGCGTACCGAACAGCAGCGGGACGGCTCTTTAGAAAACGGAAGTCGGCAAAGAGTCGCGTCTTCCCCGTCGCCCTTCGTGCGCGCAAGACCTCCCCCCTCCCAGCCACCACGACCGTTTTCCGAACGGTCCAAGGCGAGGGCAGAGAGGCGCCTCGACGTCACCGACCAGGACCCCCTCTCACGCCGTCGACGATAAGAGCCAGTGTTACTCATTTAGCGCGCACCATTGACTGGGAGCGAACGCGCCTGTCTTCGACGAGGGTGGATGGTGCACTGTCCCGTCGTTCTGCTTACCTGTGGGACTCTTGAAGACCGACCATGAGCTCACTCCTTGAGGACGACGGCGGTATGCCCACGATCGGCAGCTTCTTCGCCGGCAGGAATGTGCTTGTCACCGGGAGTACGGGATTTCTCGGAAAGGTGAGCTCTCGTGCTGACTTTCTTCGTGCACTCCTGTAGTGTTAGGATGGTTAAAGCGCGTCGGATCGGGTGCGTTGACATGTTTCTTCTGGTCCACTGGGCTTTGCAATTTTTCTTGCGTTCGGACCACGGGAGTGCGAACTGCCGATGTCTTGATTTTTGGCATCCTAAAAAGATCGCGGCCCATCTTTTGTGATAAGTGTCCCGTATAAGACTCGATTAGATATAAGCGGGAGTTAGGCGTTTACTTGTTGTATGTAGAGAGTATTCGCAGCTGACTGTGATGACATGTTATTGTATATTATAGCAATGCAAGCTTCAAATTAAGCCAGAGACAATGTTTAGTGCTGAGGTATGTGAACTTGGCCATTTGTGCACTTTGGTTTGCTCACCGGTCCCTATTGTAAATCCATTATTTCGTTTTTGCTGGTAGTCTAATTGTTTGGAGAGCCATTTCTCTGAATTTAAATATACACAAGAAACGGACACCGGCTTTCTTGCGTGCAACTCCTGAATGTTTAAGTTCGTGCCTCTCGAATTGTTTTAAGTAACGGCAATAACGATGGGCGAAGTGTCCCTACTCAGCAAAAATATTAAGATATAGGAGTGAATTTCTTAAAGATATTTTGTGTTCTTATTAAACACATGTTAAGAGACATCGCTGTGTTAATTAACGAGCTATGGATCAGGTACAACAAATCGACACAAGATAGAAGCGGATCCAGCATTGGAGGCAAAGAGTGACGTGGACTAGTGCTGAAACGATAAATGGATTTTAGTGCTTACGCACTTTCAGGTTGTAGCTTGCGCAAGCTAGCCGAGCAACGTTTCCATCCCTTCCCTTTAAATTTTGCAAACGTGGTCGTCGCATTTTGCCAGCTGAACCGTATGCTGAAGATAAGAGTAGCTCTCGTCTTTCTACAATTTATTACTTCTGTTGGCACAAAGTAAATGCATATCCAACTTGACTTCTTTAAGAATTACATAACTTTTATGCAACTTTTTTTTTTTTAACTTGAACTTGTATCGAGGCAACACACTCGATCTGCCGGATCCAATAGAATGAGTGGCCCCTACCCGCTCTAGAGAGAGTTCCGTGTTTCTCGGTAAAGGCCCGGTCGCACACTTCCAACCGAGTAGAATCGATAAAGACCGGTGTTAAAGGCTCTTGCGACGGTTTAGTACCTGCTTCGCAGAAGCGCATTCGGTCCAAAGCCGTCGCAAGAGGCTTAAAATCGGTCTGGTGTTTGTTGGTCCTATTCGGTTGCAAGATTTTGAGGGGCCTTAAAGGCCGACCAGCAAGCAGAAAGCTTACTCTCCACTCTCCTCGATTTTCTCCTCCCCGTTTTTCTCGCTCCGGAAAAGAAGAAAAGCGCCCCTCCTTTTTACGTCGCTGTTTAGAATTAGAAAACATTAGTCTCGCGGCGAGTTAGTACTCGCACCAACAAATGCAGAAGCCGCACTTTCTTTCTTCCTTACTTCCCCCTTGACGTTAGCCTTCTTTTTGACTTTAGGGAGTTTTCGCAGACCGCGTTTCCCCCTCCGCTAAGCCCTCCGCAACGAAGCCGCTACTGCGCCTGCGCGCCGATGACCTTGAATGTAGAGTCCGGGTATCGTAGCGGGGTTCGGAGGACGTTGCGGGACGGCGAAAACGATCTACGAAAGCTCCCTGTTGGGACTTGAAGTACCGACAGTGCCGTGGATGCTACGTGCTCGTCGGGCCAGTCCTACGCCTATCTTTCCCCACGTGGCTACTGCCCCGCCCATGCCTACGCGCAGGGAGCGGGGTCAGGAGATCCAAGGACGCGGTGGAACGATCCGGCCAGCACGTAGCTCCCACCGAACCGTCAGCTTTGGGCTCTCGATGGTCTTTTCGCATGATGGCATCTGCTTGCCCGACCAGGTTCCTCGCCTGGTTCGTTCATTTCAACAACTGTCTGGAAAGATTTTACCGACAAGAGACCATCACAGACAGCTTTTTCTCTGGACGATAACTTCTTTTTTTTCTGTCCGAGGTTGTTTTTCTTAGATATTTCGCAGTTTTTTTTTTAGCTTTTTTTTTCATTGGAGAACTGTTTCAGTAACCGCATCAAATACTAAAACGGAATAGCTTTTTCGAAAAACTAATTTCGAAAAATTTCCGGATTTAAAATATTCGGAGAAATCGCTCACGTCAATACATCACTCCGTCGCAACCAGTACATAGCGAACCTCTCTGAATCGTAAAATGTCATGCTTACTTAATATTCTTGGAATTCATACTGAGTGAAATTCACGAAATTACGTGACCGCAAAATAGTTGTTTACAGAGCAAGAAGCGTTGAGGTCTTCGAGCCTTCATTTTGTTGTGCTTCTCGAAGAAAAGAATGCGGGACGACGTCCTAAACGACTACACATGTCAGAGGAGGAGACTGCGGCGAAGCATCAGCTGAATGTTTCGGGCTGAGGTTGGCACGACAATGTTCGACCCTCTTCGAAATGAAGCGAACGCTGGAAATGCAGTTGATTCACGAAGTGCCATGACCACGAAGGCTCCGTTGTGCCTTTCCAAGACGCCCTGGCAATCCTCACACAACCCTTCAATAGGCGGCAAAGCGGCTTACAATGGCATGTGAGTCGTCGTCATTTGTTGGTGATATATCTGCTTTTGAAAATACACCATGCCGCCAAAACTTAGCTTGGCGCATAATGACAGATAAAAAAAGAAGAATGCAGTTTAAAGCCGCTGAAGGAAAATCACCGCACTGACCACTGAGCTGAGATTGATGTGGGAGTTACGCCTCCCTTTCATCACCTCACCCCGTTCCCTGCGTGTGTGCAGGAAGGGAAGCGTAACACGTGGCTGAAGATAGACATGGTACTGGTCCGACGAGCACGTAGCTTTCACGGTACTGGTAGCTTAGGAATGAAAGAATTATGGTCCTTTCTGAAAAGAAACTCGTGAGCCCGTCACAGGATAGCCCGAAGAGCGATCCACAAATCCGAGTCAAACGATAGCAATGACAGCTGTGGCTTTCTCTCCGCGTGTCGCTGAATCCAGGACAACAAAGCCTCCTCTATCTGAAACACATACTCTCAGATCTTTATATCGTAGTACTTGCATCGCGCGACCAAAGCCATGACTGGACGCATCGGACCCATTTGACTTCTTTGCCTGGCAAAGCACCCGATGCCTGCAATGTGATCTGTGATTTCCTCTCTTCATGAGCTCTGGATGCGATGACTCTAACTAGAAATACTTTTTCAATGTCATCAAGACGTGATGGTGCAGCATACTTCGGTCCTTGCTCAAGTACTGTTTTGGCCTTGTCTAAGACGTGTGCGTCTCCGATGGTGTTGAGTGGCCACCTCTTCACTATCTCCTTGTTCCTTCTTGCCAGATATTGTTTGAAATTCAGAGTTTCAGTTTCAGACAGTTCCAGTACAGACAGACATGTATACTGGAGGCATGAACCCCAGTCAAGCAAAGGTTCTCTTCCTCTTAGATCTGGACATTCGAAAACCATAAACATTAATGTTGCCAACACGGCCATCGTATCCGCACTAAAGAAGTTGTTATCAAGCAGAGGCAAGTTTTTAAAAATAGATATCCCGGCTGTGCGATTCCGGATATCCAGGTGATCTCTTAAGATGCATTTGTAAAACATGTGCAGAAAGCTATTTCGGCGGAAATTAGCAGGCACTGAGTGACAGGAGCGGAAAACTAAAAAGAACATGGCTGTGGTACTGTACATTCATGGAGCCACGCACAGACTAAGATCTCTAGAAGGCAAGGTGTCCAGATCATGTGTTCAGCTACCAGCAGGGCGTATTCTATATACCGCGAAGTCAATCACGAGAAAAACAAGAAAACATGCAACTTTGACAACAAGCATAGTCTCCTCCATTCTACAAAGCCTATCTATTCCATGACGGAGCCATTAAGCGCCCGGTCCCAGGAAAAAGGCGAGGAGCAGCACCGAACTGTTATCGATATGGTAGCCCAGAGCTACTCCTGGGGTGATCCCAAAGCCAGCGCCAAAAACTATGCGCGGTGTCGTCTCCGGAAAACAACAGCAAACCGCAACGGAGAAAAAGGGAAGGGGGGGTACCGGCGCTTGGAGAAACGAGAGTGGAGGGTAACACCAAATGTTTTCTTTTCCCGATAAATACAAAACAAATAGGACTGTGTCCTTGGTTCCAGATTTCACCGCTGGGGCATTGTTTTTCGCTGCCCGAGCGATACCCCTGCGTGCGCCCTCTTCCCTGATCTTTTTTCCCCTTCACAGCGGTCGCGTTCTTTCGTGATTTGCCAGGCTTTCTAAAATATAGGAGGCTATGCCACAAGGCACACAATAAGACATGTGCCAAACAGGTCCCGTATACATCAGCTCATGTTTACAAACAAACCGGAGCGCCTCTAGTGGCACGCCACCGGCGCCGTGCATGCGCGATGGACTGTGGGCAAGATGCGCCGCGTCCTACAACAACAGTCCATTGGAATTCCACATTGTCAGAGTCGGGGTGAGTTCCCGTGCTCGTTTTTGCGTTGAAGTTGTTCATTCTACGTCTTCATAGCAATGTCTTACCACTTTAGCGGCCTGAGCGAAATTAATGAGGCACATTACGCCGCAAAGCTTCGTGTAAATAATATGACGTGCGGCGAAATTAACTTGCTTGAACACCGCAGAATGGACACTAAAACCATACGATTCTGCTCGCTATTTTGAGTCGCGACGTCGCTCGGGCTGCAAAGGCTTGTGCGGTAGCTGCGCTGGTCGGTCTCGATACCGAAAATCGCAAGCAGAATTGGACCAAGTGAATCGCAAGCAGAATTGGACCAAGTGAATCGGGCATAACAAGTCGGTGATGGCCAGTGGTTACAATGATCAACATATCGTTGATCATTGTAACCACTTTTCATTTTCACATTGTAATCATTGTAATCACTTCTTTTCGTGTTTCGGTCGAACAAGACCTTTTTGAAACCATTAATAACCCAGACATTTTGCCCGAGGGGT